CCTCCCTTCCTTATTTTCTCCCCCTCTCCTTCCTTCCCCCCTTCCTTCTCTCCTACGTTCCCTCCTTCCTTCCCTCCTTCTCTCCTTCCTTCCCTCCCTTCCTTATTTTCTCCCCCTCTCCTTCCTTCCCCCCTTCCTTCTCTCCTACGTTCCCTCCTTCCTTCCCTCCTTCTCTCCTTCCTTCCCTCCCTCCTTTCTTTTCTCCCCCTCTCCTTCCCTCCCCCCTTCCTTCTCTCCTACGTTCCCTCCTTCCTTCCCTCCTTCTCTCCTTCCTTCCCTCCTTCCTTCCCTCCTTGCTTCCCTCTCTCCTTCCCTCCCTCCTTCCTACCCCCCATTCTTCTCTTTTTTCTCTCCTTGAGCAGGTCTTATTTCAATAAATAGAAGGTCTCTGGAACCGATAGGAATATAAATGCCTTTTCCCCCCCCCCCCAGTATATTTATTTAAACAATGGAATACCAGGATATGTTTTATTGCACCGTTTGATGTATCTTTATGACTTCTTCAAAACAGCAACTAATAAAGAATTATGAAGGTGGCACTTTAAAAGACTGATAGAGATGTATTAAGTTTTCACCCGGACAAGCTTAAATCGCAATACATTTGTTAACTTTTACTCACATTCTCCCTCCCCCTGTAGAGTTGAAACTGAATCTTGGGTTATCCCTGAGGGATATTTTCCAAAAACTACAATCATAGGTTTCCAGTGCCACCTTCTGGAATAATAAGCAATTACAAAGAAAGGAAATGTTGTATATGATGCAGCTATCATCATCATCATTCCTCTAAAATGATTCTTCCGGGAATAGGGCGGGCATACAAGTCAAATAAAACCTAAACCTAAAACCTAAATTTTTAAAGCAGCTTTCAAAATGAGAATGTATTTTTAAAAGAAATAACATATACTTGTAACTAGCATTTATACTACATTAGCATTTCTATTCCTTTATGATCTCAATTGTACTTTTTTTCTCATGCCTTCATTCCACGCTTCAGCCCTAAGCTACTAGTTAACCTGAAACTTTTTTTTCCTGATTTCATTAATTATTTTATTCAGCTCTTGTAAAGAAATTAATACAGCGTATTTCCCATCTTTGTTCTTTCTTCTAAAGTCAGCATAAACTAAATATTATGGATAAATGAAATTCATCCAAGTGAAACTTTATTGAAAATAATTTGGAGTGGGACAAGAGGATGCTGCAGGTATATTAATACAAGGTTTCAATTTGTATTACTAATGTATTAAAAATGCCTGTTTCTCCCCATGTTCAAGTCAACATCAAAATAAATCAGAACATTCAATACAAATAGCAAATTAGAAAAGAAGTTTCCTATAGACGCAAACATTTATTTTCACATCGTATCGTAAGATATTCTTAAAAGCTTGAAAATACTGACTGCTTCATATAAAAATATAAGAAAAGTTTAAAAAGTAACTTATATGTTGACTTCCGAGAACAGATTTTAGAACATTTTAAGTCAATTACTAGAAAGTACTTCAGGTCATCAGCAAAAGAGCATAGTACAGAAATGACATAATCTTGAAAAGAAGTTCTTTAAAATAATTTTGACACTGTAATTTACAGAGAAATATTTGCTCAAATTAAACAATTTTCAGAGACCACTTAAAGACTTTTGAAAAATAATTTCATATAAAAATTCAAAAACATAGATTCGACTGAACTGAACTGAAAAAGTTTTCAAACAAAATAAAGCATATCACTATGATTAATCTTCTTCAGATTCAGCAGGAAAATTACTTCTAGGTGATATAATAAATACTTTCTTAAATGAAGGATTTAAATCCTTTGAAACAAATCAGTGTGCAATAGTAAAATTGTCACCAACTAACTGTTTAACAGGTGCTCTGCTTTAATAGGAAATTACAGAAAAAATAATAAAAAGTAATAAAAGTATACAAAATGTCATGCCAATCAAATACATAGCATACATAGAAACGCATCATGTTTGCAAATTTGTATGAAATTTATTCCTGAAAAGGAGTCATATGCTGCCTTAGAATCATAAACAGGAGAGCTGGTATAAGAAAAAGAATAGATACTGAACATGATTTTTTAAAAATAAAAATAAGTGTTTATGATTTGGAATCAAGTCTCTGCTTTCAGTTTAGCTAATCTGACTCAAGAAACCAAATTCAGGTCTAATCATTTCTGTATGCTGAGAATTCAATCTTAGAAGGCCATGCCAACCCCCGAAACCTAATAGATGTGGAAGAACGTTAGGAGCAAATGGGCAACTAAACATTTTCTTTTCTTATTACCTGTGGAGGCTGATACTATATGAGCGCTCAGGAAGCATTAGGTAATTGAGAGCAGAAAATATTTTGTCGCTAGAGGGATACGTTCCCTTGGAGGCACTTACTAGAAGTGGTAGGACCACCTCTTGTTGATGCCTTCTACTCTTTCCCAAGCAACAAGCAGAGCTCTCAACGGATCTTGTGCAAGTTGTCAGAGGGAAGACTTTCACTGATACTTAGTTTTGATTAAGGGCCTTAGCCATATGGCCATTGTGGAGTTTTGTTTTGAATTTGATATGTCCACTCCTCGATTGAAGCAAGTTACTCAAATAATCAGGTTAACACCATTGAGCTAAACTAGTGGTTGGTAATGGGTTGCCTGTGGATTACATCCAGTATGTCAACTCTGAAGCGAGGGGAAGGGAGAGGGGAACGTAGATAGAAGGGTTACTAGTCAAAACAAAAAGTTTTCTTATGGGAACCAAGGTCATCCCAACAGAAGAATTTTGGGCTCAATTTTGTTCATAAGTCGAGGACTACCAGTACACAATATTTACAACCATACAAAGACCTTCTTCTGTTTTAGTAAGCGATCCAGGAAGATGTTTTTTGAAATAAAAATTGCTGGAGAGAGATGTATATAAACCTCACTGAAACATTGCTTTCATCCTGTGCAATGCATCTTGGATTTTTCGAGATTGCTTTTCAGGTTTCTGATGGAAGTTGGCATAATTATCAGCCGCTAATGTGAAGATGTCTGCGTCGTTAAGAAAAGTTATTCGTTGTCTTAAGAAATCTTGCAATTGGCAATCTGGTGGGAACACGTAGGGGTTTTCTTGAAATGCTTGAACCTGGCTTACAACTTTCGCAATATTTCTTAAAAAGAGAAAAGATGAAAGAATCCAGTCAGGCTGGGGGTTTTTTCCCCCCATATTTGATAAAATAGGGAAATAAACACTGTATTAGGCGCTTAATATTCAATTTAAAAAAAAAAAAATTTATATAAAGCATTCTACAACAAATAATCGAAATGCTCAATTTATCTTGCCTTTAATTATTTCATAAATAATATACATGTTATGTTTTTTAAACATTATCGTTCAGCTATATTAAGCTGCAAGACTCTATTCCATTTTAATAAATTCCATGCCATAAAAACATTACCTAAGTTTGGTCCACTTGTATGTGCCATTTCGCATCGTAAATCCTCCAGTTTCAAGTTGCTGTATGTGCATAGCAAGTATGTGAGCTGATGGAATTGTTGACGATGTTTTAAATCTCTCCCCTTCCATTAAGCACAAGCTGTCACTTTTTAAAAATACCTGAAATAATACACACAGACATGCAGGCAGACAGACAGACATCTTAGAACAGGGCATGACGATTGATGGGAAAGTCTTTGCTATGTTGTAACAGACATTTTTGTATAATATGTAAAGAGAAAAGACTTAGAATTGGGAACTATAATGTAAAGGTTCCCTCTCACACACATGTGTTGGTCGTTCCCGACTCTAGGGGGTGGTGTTCATCTCCATTTCAAAGCCAAAGAGCCAGCGCTGTCCAAAGACATCTCCATGGTTATGTGGCTGGCATGACTAAATGCTGAATCTGGCTAAATGCCGAAGGCGCACGGAACGCTGTTCCCTTCCCATCAAAGGTGGTTCCTATTTTTCTACTTGCATTTTTTACATGCTTTCGAACTGCTAGGTTGGCAGAAGCTGGGACAAGTAACGGGAGCTCACTCCGTTATGGGATTCAATCCGCCAAACTGCCGACCTTTCTGATCAACAAGCTCAGCGTCTTAGCCACTGAGCGTCCCCTTAGACCAGTGTTTCCCAAAGTGTGGTACGCGTACCCCCAGGGGTACGGGAAGAGTTTGGTGGGGGTACAGACTATTGGACGTGGAACCGCATCTCAG